CTTAATTGGTCCCAAACCTGCACACAGAAATAACATCACATGAGACCAGAAGGCATGGCAGGATGTGCAGAATACCCCCGTTGAAGAGCAGAGGTGCAACAGGTACTCTGAGAGAGAACTCTATCAACATCAGAGGCCCGAGACTGTTCAACACGCTTCCACTACACATAAGGGGCATAACTGGCCGACCCCTCACAGTGTTCAAGAGAGAACTTGACAAACACCTCCAAAGGATACCTGATCAACCAGGCTGTGACTCATATGTCAGGCTGCGAGCAGCCGCGTCCAACAGCCTGGTTGATCAGTCCAGCAACCAGGAGGCCTGGTCGACGACCGGGCCGCGGGGACGCTAAGCCCCGGAAACACCTCAAGGTAACCATAGTACATATAACGACTTACAACGCAATTAGAAATCCGTACTATTGAATTTGGACAAACCGGAATTTTGTTTGTATTTATGTTGCAAAGACAAACTGAACTAACCAAACAAAACTTTTCTAGGCCTAATACACGCTATCCGAGGCCTAATATAGTTCATATATGTACTATACTAAACCTAGTAATATTTGTTTGTTTTTTTGGTTTCATTTTTTCGGACTATCAAGTGAATAGTACAAAATTCTATTAATTGCTTAGTACATCAATAATTATACTATGGTGGACATAGTTACAAAAAGTACTATCTAAACATGAGGATGAGTTGATGAAACATTACGTAACTATGGCTAGCGTCCCCCCCCCCCTGCAGGCACGATTGTGGCTAACTTCCCCCCCCCCTCCCCCCACCATGGGCCCTGAGATGCAGGATAGGTTCACTAAAGCCAAATGTAACTAGTTCATCAGAAACGTGAATTGTTTATTTTTACAGATGACTGGTCCAGCACCTGAACCCATTACGGGTCTCTTAAACCTATCTGCCACTCACGGATAGGGCGGGTTCTGGGGGCTTAATGCCACTGAATGTTAGTACTACCAACGCAGGTCTTATGGTTATAGCTTATAACTTATTACTAGTACATTTTGTTATGTATATTTGTGTACAGTAAGCTGGGCAGCAACCGGCTGAAAATAGGGGTACACGAGCATACTTCTGAATATATATTATAAAGCTTAGATGAATTCCTCTTTTTTGTGTGCATTCCATATGAACATGAAGAAAAGTGGGAGTTGATTGCATGCTTCATCAACCTAAGCCGAGGCGATTGCCATTATTATTACACTAAGATTCATCAAAGAAATGCATGTGGACCAGTTCTCTGCACTACCAACACCGACCGACCAAGGATAGGTCATCACATTCCCCCTGATATGATGTGAAAAGTACAAGTGCAAGAGAAGAGAAGGACCTTGCCTGACCGAGTGAACCAATGCCGCGCTCAACACTCTACCCACCCAACATCACAAGAACACAAAGCCACCAGCAACTACTTGCCTAGCCTATTAAAATATTACCAAACCCCTGACTTCAACCTTCAATTAAAACCTCCCATGGTATGGTCTGAAATTAGCATCTTTCCTGAACGCGTTGTGCGGGGGGGCGGGGGAGTAATTATGTTCCCGCCATAACGCCAGTGGCGGCGGGCGAAGATGGCCGCCATGTTCCCCCTTACACACACACACACACACACACACACACACACACACACACACACACACACACACACACACACACACACACACACACACACACAACTTTACATAACTCAACGTATTCCTTCACAGTGATGTCTGTAGCTTCTCTCTCTCTATTCTGGCTCATTGTTTTATAGCTAAATAAAGCGAAGAGTGCATTATGCAAAATTATTAGGTTAAGATGTGCATGGAGGTGGTTCAGTAACCCGGATTAGGGTGGGTTGAGGACTGGTAAATATCGAGGACTCGTCTGCTGCTGCTGGCCGAGGACCGGTACTGTTGCTGCTGGTCGAGGACCCGTACTGCTGCTGCTGGTCGAGGACCCGTACTGCTGCTGCTGGCCGAGGACCCGTACTGCTGCTGCTGGTCGAGGACCCGTACTGCTGCTGCTGGCCGAGGACCGGTACTGTTGCTGCTGGCCGAGGACCGGTACTGTTGCTGCTGGTCGAGGACCCGTACTGCTGCTGCTGGCCGAGGACCGGTACTGTTGCTGCTGCTGACCGAGGACCGGTACTGTTGCTGCTGCTGGCCGAGGACCGGTACTGTTGCTGCTGCTGGCCGAGGACCCGTGCTGTACTGCTGCTGCTGGCCGAGGACCCCGTACTGCTGCTGCTGGCCGAGGACCCCGTACTGCTGCTGCTGGCCGAGGACCCCGTACTGCTGCTGCTGGCCGAGGACCCCGTACTGCTGCTGCTGGCCGAGGACCCCGTACTGCTGCTGCTGGCCGAGGACCCCGTACTGCTGCTGCTGGCCGAGGACCCCGTACTGCTGCTGCTGGCCGAGGACCCCGTACTGCTGCTGCTGGCCGAGGACCCCGTACTGCTGCTGCTGGCCGAGGACCCCGTACTGCTGCTGCTGGCCGAGGACCCCGTACTGCTGCTGCTGGCCGAGGACCCCGTACTGCTGCTGCTGGCCGAGGACCCCGTACTGCTGCTGCTGGCCGAGGACCCCGTACTGCTGCTGCTGGCCGAGGACCCCGTACTGCTGCTGCTGGCCGAGGACCCCGTACTGCTGCTGCTGGCCGAGGACCCCGTACTGCTGCTGCTGGCCGAGGACCCCGTACTGCTGCTGCTGGCCGAGGACCCCGTACTGCTGCTGCTGGCCGAGGACCCCGTACTGCTGCTGCTGGCCGAGGACCCCGTACTGCTGCTGCTGGCCGAGGACCCCGTACTGCTGCTGCTGGCCGAGGACCCGTACTGCTGCTGCTGCTGGCCGAGGAATGTGAGCGGATACACCTTGGTGAGAGCCGTGTGTGTGGGCGGGGGAGGTGGCCCGCCCCCCCGCCCAGCACACTGCACTCCGGTGTTGGGGTACAGGTCCAGGGGGCGCTCTTAATACACACAATAACGTCCAGTCCTCCGAGCACAGAGCAGAGCACGAGGAGGTGGACCAGCACGGGACGCCGCCCATCACGGCCACCATCAACCATTTACACACCTGAGATTACATGAATAAGCCATTGTACTTTCTTGTAAATATAAACATATAAATTGCAGAACAAAAGAGGAGAGGAAGATTGGGTATACGGTGCCCAAGAGGAGAGGAAGATTGGGTATACGGTGCCCAAGAGGAGAGGAAGACTGGGTATACGGTGCCCAAGAGGAGAGGAAGACTGGGTATACGGTGCCCAAGAGGAGAGGAAGACTGGGTATACGGTGCCCAAGAGGAGAGAAAGACTGGGTATACGGTGCCCCCAACAGGTGACGAAGGTAATGGTGCCCAAGAGGAGAGGAAGATTGGGTATACGGTGCCCAAGAGGAGAGGAAGACTGGGTATACGGTGCCCAAGAGGAGAGAAAGACTGGGTATACAGTGCCCAACAGTGACGAAGGTACTGGTGCCCAAGAGGAGAGGAGGGTCGTGCATGGTAGTGTCAACATGGGATGACGCAAGGCGTTGGGCGTAGTGATGCCCAAAATAATTACAATGTACTTACATTTACAATCTACAAATTATGGAAAACAGCGGAACCCGAGCCAGGAACCTGACAGACGGTACAAGACCACGTGTAATAACGGTGATAAGAGGACATGGTGTGCCCGTGGCCAGCCACCCTGTGCTGATGAGAGGCAGCGCCACCTTGCAGTAGAGAACACGTGAGATAAGACAATGCAGCACCAGAGTCAAGAGAAGGCTGCGCTTTACTCTAAAGGTCAGCAACCGTGGACCAAACAAACAGGAACCAGCCCCTCACTCTTGGCAACGCTATCCGGAGCTGTCGCACATCTTTTACCACAACACCTCTCCAGCAGGGAGCACAGAACAGGAGTGAGATCGGAGATGAGAGATGGCAGTAGTAGGCGGAGTACATAAGAACATAAGAACAAAAGCAACTGCAGAAGGCCTATTGGCCCATACGAGGCAGCTCCTATTAAGTACAAGTGATCAATACTGTGTCTCATACATGTCAGTGACAACTATCAAACAACTAACCTAACGTTGTAAAATGTGTGTAGGAAGGTCGCACGGCCTAACCCTTGGTGTTTATAACGTTTTTATAAACAAAATAGACTTTCAAACATACATTTTATATACTAACAAAGTAGGAGTCTTCATGCCAATGTTTACTAACGATGCAAAAATTTATAAGAAATCAAATAGAACAAAACTGCAGAATGTTCCAGGTGATCCTGGACAACTTGGAAAGATTGTCAGATAAATGGATGCTCGAGTTTAATCCAAGCAAATGCAAGGCCATGAGAATTGCAATACTGGTAGAATATATGATAAGGAAATTTTTAGTCACAAAAAATATTTGCTCCCACATAATTGCTCACGCCCATGTGTTAACATTAACATTGATGTTAACCAGGATAACACCAGCTGAAAAGAACATTAATGTAGCCTAGGCCTAGAGTGACAAAGTTGAGACAACACAAATGCCGAGCACACACAGCATGGGGCGAATAAGAGAACTTGTGAGAATGCAAAGAAATTATGTTCACGATCATAAATGGAATTACAATGTCACTTAAGTCAAGTAACGGACAAGCGAGGACACCCCAGAAGTAGTTGCACTCATCAAAACAAAACTGTCAGGCATCATAACGAATGCAATAATTCCTCAAGCTTACAATTGAAACATAACCCCAGCAATGAATATCAAAGTGATTTTTATTTATACACAATTCTCGAAGAATCAAACAACTACAGTTCGCGAAGATTAAACAAACATACAGCAATGATCTAGATGGACTGCAGAGGCCCAACATTTGGGGAGAACCAATCTCCAATGGCTGTAACCTCCCGAGTGCAGGACCGGGCCCGAGGACACTGAACCGCCTCAGAGTACCACGTACCTGGCTTTACCATGCATTACGGTATAAGTCATAACCAGTCATTTTCGACACATCTAGATTTATATGCATTATGGTAAAGGACTTATATTGCTGGGACAACTGCAGCGTGGTAAACGAGGTGGCGCGACCACAAGGGGCGGAGGGCTACGGCCAGGGTCACTATACGGGTGGGAAGGCCATACTGGATGGCCAGTATGGCCTCGATAGCAACATCCACCATGAGGACAAATGGTAATGGGGCAAAAAAAAAAAACGGCCAATATGGACAAATGTCAAGTGGCCACAAAATCTTGGTGATACGACATATGCGTGGCCACATATCTCTATCTCCTTAACAAATTATTGCGACAAAAGGTGGTCAACCGGCCACAGAGGCGAGCTGGCCACTAAATCACACAGTTCTATGGTTCATTCGCAGTTCAAATGTCCACAGTGTGGTTAGCCCCAAAGAGGTCAGCTGGCCACAATGGGCCATGGACCACAGAGGTCAGCTGGCCACAATGGGCCATGGACCACAGAGGTCAGCTGGCCACAATGGGCCATGGACCACAGAGGTCAGCTGGCCACAATGGTCCATGGACCACAGAGGTCAGCTGGCCACAATGGGCCATGGACCACAGAGGTCAGCTGGCCACAATGGGCCATGGACCACAGAGGTCAGCTGGCCACAATGGGCCATGGACCACAGAGGTCAGCTGGCCACAATGGGCCATGGACCACAGAGGTCAGCTGGCCACAATGGGCCATGGACCACAGAGGTCAGCTGGCCACAATGGGCCATGGACCACAGAGGTCAGCTGGCCACAATGGGCCATGGACCACAGGTCAGCTGGCCACAATGGGCCTGGCAAAAGGAGACATAATTAAATCGGCGTAAAAAAAACTGGAGCCCATCCCGCGAGGAGAGGAGAATAAAGGGTCATAAATTTGCTTAAGATTCTATATCCCGCGCCGTAGGGTCGGTGGGCCCGCGTGCCGCCTCGCACATTCCGACCTTGCGGACCCCCCTGCCTCTACCCTTCTCCTTCCCGTAAGGTAGATTTGCTGATGCCGCAGCTCTTGCATATCGGGTCCCTGGCTGGCTGGCTGGGGGGGGGATGCCTGCTTGTGGGGGGGGTTGGGGAGGTTTGCTTATCTCTACATATCTTAGGTATTTCTTCGCCCTCACATGTCAAGATGGTAAATAGGGCTACATTGTGAACTGGGTCCTTACGGTGCTCGACCCGAGGGCGGTGAGGGCTGATGGGGGGGACCTATGAAGCTTGTAGGCTCTTGTGGGAGGTGGTAGCTGCCAGGGGAGGGTGGTAGATGGGCGGTTTGGAGGAGGGATGAGGTGGATAGACTTGAGGTGGGGGAGGGAGGGATAGAGCTTAGCTCAGCTGGCAACACCCACACAAGGTGTCAGCAAGGCGGACAGCCCGCCTGCTTTCATAACTCTCACTCTACTTCCCACTTCTAAACTTCCCTTCGCTTATGTCTCTCCATCCTCTTTACTCTCCACCCTAAAAAAAGAGGGATACAGAGCGGGGCGGGAGTAGATGAATGGGGCTAGGGTGGGTGGTGCTGGTGGGGGTGGTTGGTGGTGATGAAGTGATTGGTGGTGGTGGGGTGGTTGGTGCTGGTGGTTGGTGCTGGTGGTTGGTGCTGGTGGTTGGTGCTGGTGGTTGGTGCTGGTGGTTGGTGCTGGTGGGGTGCTTGGTGGTGGTGGTTGGTGCTGATGAAGTGATTGGTGCTAGTGGGGTGGTTGGTGGTCGTGGTGATGGTTGGAGTTGGGGTGGTTGGTGCTGGTGGTTGGAACTGGTAGGGGTTGTTGTCGGTGGCGCTTGAGGTTGGTTGTGGAGAGGACGTTGGTGGACGTGGGTAAAGCTTGTTTTAGTCTACCAATATTTGAAGGCAGGCAGACAGGCAGGAAGCAAGTAGGCAGACAGGCAGGCAGGAAGCAAGTAGGCAGACGGTCAGACAGACGGGCAGACAGCCAGGAAACAGGTAGGCAGACAGACAGGCAGGCAGGAAGAAGGCAGGCAGGCAGGAAGCAAGTAGGCAGGCAGGCAGGAAGCAGACAGGCATAGAGGCAGGAAGCAGACAGGCATAGAGGCAGGAAGCAGGTAGGCAGGCAGGCAGACAGACAGGCAGGCAGGCAGGCAGGCAGGAAGCAGACAGGCAGACAGACAGGCAGGAAGCAGGCAGGCATGCAGACAGACGGGCAGGCAAGTAGGCAGGCAGGAAGCAGACAGGCAGGCAGGAAGCATGCAGGCAGACGGTCAGACAGACGGGCAGGCAGCCAGGAAACAGGCAGGCAGGAACAAGGCAGGCAGGCAGGCAGGCAGACGGGCAGGCAGGAAGCAGGCAGGCAGACAGACAGGCAGGAAGCAGACAGGCAGACAGACAGGCAGGAAGCAGACAGACAGGCAGGAAGCAGACAGGCAGGCAGGCAGACAGACAGACAGGCAGGAAGCAGGCAGGCAGGCAGACAGGCAGGAAGCAGACAGACAGACAGACAGGCAGGCAGACAGACAGACAGGCAGGAAGAAGGCAGGCAGGCAGGGAACCAACCACTGAGGTAGCCAGACAGACGGACAGCCAGCCACCCGCCAGCCAGCTCACCGTTGTCACTAGCTAATTACATGCTCCCAGTTTTATTTATCACCGAATCGAGAGGTGGGTACCACACGACACTGGTATCCGTGGCGGCAGGTGCTGATCACCAGATATCATGGTTATCCCTGATAACTCCCGCAGGAAGGGCAGAGGGGCGAGCCGCCGCTACACCCCACACGCCTATTCCAACACTTATGATGCTTATGGCGGGGTCTTCCACTATTACAGACGGCAACAGGTTGGCTGCTGGCGGTCGTGTTGATGCAAGAGTTACCCAGGACCGGTGAGTGGAGCAACCCGTCCTCGACTCAAGTCCATTCCATCCAGCCGTCGACCCCCACAGACGCATTCATAAATGTTTACATGCTGTTCTGTCAAAACGGGAATTTTCTCAAATATAAACTAATATTATATATATATTAGCATATTGTGCATATATATAGGCATAGGTTAGGTTAGGTTAGGTGTTTAGGTTCTGTTGGCGATTATTTGTATTTGTAGTACGTGGGTGAAGCATTTACAGTGTTGTGGTTCGAACAAAATTCGTCAGTGAAGCACTTGTTCCGGAAGTGTTCGAACGAAATCAGTTGTGAGTCGTGTGTAAACCGTTTTTCATTCATAAACAGCGGGTTTGGCGAGTGTATGGAATGGACTTTGGCCTTTGTTTAGAGGATAGGTTAACCTAAGCTAACATAACTAAATCAATAATTTATGTTCTTAATATAATATAATAAAAATATTTAAAATAAACCAACTGGAAACAATTTATTGAAAATAAAGAAAATCACTCGGCCTATTAGGCAAATCAGGCCTTGCATAGTAGGCCGAGAAGTGCGTTCTGGCTATAGGTACGACATTTTATATATATATATATATATATATATATATATATATATATATATATATATATATATATATATATATATATGTCTCATAGTTGTAGCAATATTTGCCTAATTATTTGTCGACATTTCTACGGACGGTGAGAGAGAGAGAGAGAGAGAGAGAGAGAGAGAGAGAGAGAGAGAGAGAGAGAGAGAGAGAGAGAGAGAGAGAGAGAGAGAGAGAGAATGTGAGAGAAAAAGATAATAACTCTTCACAAAGAATCAATAAAATAAGACCTTGCAGTAGGCACTACACCTAATCAATCTGCCGAGAGACAAATTCAATATGGTCAGTAATGCATGTAAGGCTAAGGCTAGCACACACGAGGCTGGCACACACGAGGCTGGCACACACGAGGCCGGCACACACGAGGCCGGCACACACGAGGCCGGCACACACGAGGCCGGCACACACGAGGCCGGCACACACGAGGCCGGCACACACGAGGCCGGCACACACGAGGCCGGCACACACGAGGCCGGCACACACGAGGCCGGCACACACGAGGCCGGCACACACGAGGCCGGCACACTCGAGGCCGGCACACACGAGGCCGGCACACTCGAGGCCGGCACACACGAGGCCGGCACACACGAGGCCGGCACACACGAGGCCGGCACACACGAGGCCGGCACACACGAGGCCGGCACACACGAGGCCGGCACACACGAGGCCGGCACACACGAGGCCGGCACACACGAGGCCGGCACACACGAGGCCGGCACACACGAGGCTGGCACACACGAGGCTGGCACACACGAGGCTGGCACACACGAGGCCAGCACACACGAGGCCGGCACACACGAGGCCGGCACACACGAGGCCGGCACACACGAGGCTAGCACACACGAGGCCGGCACACACGAGGCTGGCACACACGAGGCCAGCACACACGAGGCCAGCACACGCGAGGCCGGCACACACGAGGCCGGCACACACGAGGCCGGCACACACGAGGCCGGCACACACGAGGCTGGCACACACGAGGCCAGCACACACGAGGCCGGCACACACGAGGCCGGCACACAGGAGGCTAGCACACACGAGGCTGGCACACACGAGGCTAGCACACACGAGGCCGGCACACACGAGGCCAGCACACACGAGGCCAGCACACACGAGGCCGGCACACACGAGGCCAGCACACACGAGGCCGGCACACACGAGGCCGGCACACACGAGGCTGGCACACACGAGGCCAGCACACACGAGGCCAGCACACACGAGGCCGGCACACACGAGGCCGGCACACACGAGGTCGGCACACACGAGGCCGGCACACACGAGGCCGGCACACACGAGGCCGGCACACACGAGGCCGGCACACACGAGGCCGGCACACACGAGGCCGGCACACACGAGGCCGGCACACACGAGGCCGGCACACACGAGGCCGGCACACACGAGGCCAGCACACACGAGGCCAGCACACACGAGGCCAGCACACACGAGGCCAGCACACACGAGGCCAGCACACACCAGAGCTGCGCTCATCACCGTCAACGGTGAGCAATTCAAGGCAAGGTAATTATCAGGAGAGAACGTTAAGCCAGTACGACTACACACCACCAGAGTGAAGAATTCAAACCGCAGTTTACCTGCCCGTCACGCTTGGTCAACTCTGGCAGGGAGACACACACTCTTGGGACCCGGGACAACCACAGTATGGCACGTGGATTTTTTGTATTTGTATTTATACAAGAGTTCTTACATTCTTGTACAGCCACTAACACGCATAGCGTTTTGGG